GGGGGGGTACGATATATATATATATATGTACGTATGTATACTAACATATATATGTGTATATATATATATATATATATTTATATTTATTTATTTATTTATATAACTCATCACCCCACTTATAACTACCCATGACCTTCAAGTATGCTTTAGTCACTGTAACGTAAGGGCTATAATTATTAGAACTATTGGGCGTCGTTTAAGGGTTGCTACAGTTGTTCCGATAGGAGCTTGGCATAGGGTCCTTGATGATTAGAATTATGGATTTGAGGGTATGTTATATTACTACAAGTACGTCCAGCCACCCTACGAAACAGTGCTTGTCGGTATTGAGGCCTCCGCAAGAACTTTTATCCACATGGCACTGTTGTTGTGTGTGTGTGTTGGAGGTTATTAGGCTTGCTTTGGGTCAACGGGGTGATGCAAATGTTGCGACCTCTATCAAGAGGCTCTTACAATGTTATCTCATGATGAATGCTACTGCTACCGCAACTGACCTTACTGGTCTCAGTACTACGATAACCGCACAAACAACAGCTACACCGAGTGTCAATCAGCTACGTACCTCTGCTGCTGCTGCTGCCACAGCGACTGCTACTTGTACTTGTTTCTACTGCTACTAGAACAACAACAGCAACGCCCACACCCACTGCCACTGAAACTACGACTACCAGTACCAGTATCCGTAGCAAGCATCATCCGCTTCGCCGGGATGCTTGGACAGGACTAGAGAAAGGACATCGCACTCCTCTTGAAGACGGTAGGAGTTCGCGACGTTCGTCACAATAGCATCGAACTGCTCCAAGACCAAGTTCATCCATCCGCCTTACTGGTGGGCGAATAGCCAGAACTCAGCCGAGAACATGGATTCAATGTTACTGTTACAGTGATCTTGAGATGCACTGCTCAAGTTGCAAAAACCTGCTTCCACCTCCCCTCACAGGGACGGTGTATGGTCCGCAAGGAAAAGATTGTAGAAATCGCTCAAGGTGCACCGTCTATTCTACGGCAAGGAAGCCAAAACATCACGGCAAGTCTCTCTCAGCAAATCCCATCACCGCAGCATTGAAGAGGAACATCTCGTTGAAGGTTGTGGGGACCTTCACTTGGTGGATGCATGCTGGAGCTGAGAGTGTAATGTAGGCGGCCTTGATCATTTGAAGAGGGTTTCTGTGCGTGCTAGACTACAAGAGTATTCGGGAATCCTAAGGAGTAGTATTACTAGTTCTTCAGGCTTCTATATCCTTCGACAGGGGCTTCGAGGCACCGAAGTTAATGATGCGACTCTGCTATGAACCGCATGAATTCGCCCTAAACCCTAAACCCAAAGACCTACAACCCTGAACCCCAAGACCTAAAACCCTGAACCCAAAGACCTAAAACCCTGAACCCAAAGACCTAAAACCCTGAACCCTAAGACCCAAAACCCTAAACCCAAAGACCTAAAACCCTGAACCCTCAGACCCAAAACCCTAAACCCTAAACCCAAAGACCTAAAACCCCGAAGGTGAAGCCGGCCTTCATGTTGCTTCCCTTCAGCTTTCCCTGCGCTTCCATTGAGCTCCGGAGCGCCGACATCGTGGCATTGTTGCCTTCCATGCAACTCAGAGCATCTAGGGAGATGGCATCATCTAGAGGCCTTGATAGTTAGAATAGGGGGTTCGGGGTATATTATGCTATCATTCTGATAAGGAGCCCCCAAAATGGTATTGGCGATTATATCGGCCCCTGTATTGGACCCTTGCAGCAGGTTCCACCAAACAACGAACACTCCATCGCCACGAAGCTCGCCAACAAAGACTCTACGCAAGCTCATCAGCTGCATGTCTGGCCTGTGGCCGCATTGGCAGCCATGCCGTTGTCGGCAACGTTGTCCGCACCTAGCCGTATGGGCACCGGCAGAAGCAACAGGGCTTGGCGGCTACAGATTTGGAATGCTTATCGCATTGCTCTGGAAGGTGCACAACTCAAGAAGTGTAATGAGCATGCCGAACAGCAGGAAGGAGATACCCTAAACCCTAAACCCCTAGACCCTCAACCCTAACCCTAAACCCCTAAACCCCTAAACCCTAAACCCTAAACAGATCTCACGGCAGCACTGATAAGCAAAGGCGACTACCCCGGCCTTTTGTCTCGTTCTTCGGTGCAGCTTCATCCTTGTCCTTTTCGTGCTGGTGCTCAATCAGGCCTTCCTTCTGATCGAAGTCGTCTTCTTCAGTCTGTCGCAATTAAGGCTCGAGGGGTGGTGTCATGATGATGATGATGATGATGATGGTGATGCTCATGCTGATGATGATGCTGATGGTGCTGCTGACAACGACGATGACGATGAAGATGATGGCACGATCGCTCACTGGATTTCGTTGCATCGGAAGTATTACTTATCATTGCCATGGACGGCAAGTGCTGCCATTTGTAATGCTACAACACCAACTATTCCTACTAGTACTACTGCGACAGACCTCTCTGCAGCGCCCTCTAAACTTGGTCAGTGATTTAAGCAAGCCGTTCAGGTCTCCGGCCCAAAACCCAAGTAAGAGCAGGAATGAGCATGATCACAACTGTCTGGATGAGATGCTTCAAAACGAATGCGCTGTTGGCCCGCGGCTGCGCCTTGTTATTGGCGGTCGCCCAGCTTCTCTGAATGATTCTGATACGACCCGCGTACTCGCGGCCTCACCAAGGCATGTACAAGCTGTGGCTGACCGACAAAGGTCGCAGCTGCATCCAGATGTCCGAGTGCATGACGGATGTATATGTATGCTCCACCAACATAGTTGAGGACGACCTCGGCTACGACTCTGTGCGGGTGGCTGCAGCTAGTCACTGAGGCCACCGCAAACACTAAATCCTAACCCCAAAGCCCAAGCCCCTAAACATCCTGAGCCCACAGCCCCTAAACCCTTAAGCATAATGCAGATGGTTTCTATCATTCCTCTAATTCCTATTTCATTGCTATTATCAATGTTGCTACTATTTTGACTGGTACTCTCATTCATACTAACTGCTGCTGCTATTCTTCTATTTATTAATACTATTACGACTAAAGTAGGGGCCTTAATAATTAGAATAGGGTTTTGGGGGGCTCTGTACAATAATCATAGTATGATATACCCACAAACCCTATTCTAATTATTAAGGCCCCTACACTAACTCTAAACCCCGAAACCCTAAACCCTAAACCCTATTCTAATTATTAAGCCCCCTAATATAGAGCCCTAGTACAGATCTCTTATAGAACCCTTTAAGGATGTAAGGATCCCTTTAGACGAACCCCCCAACACCCTATTCTAATTATTAAGGCCCCTATCATACCTAAACCCTAAACCCTAAACCCTAAACCCTAAACCCCTATCTTAACAGAGTGAGCCGAGGTGCTCCCAAGCCGACACGTCCTTTCGAGCTGAAACGCGGTCCCATCTCCTGCGAGAATGTAGATCACCTATCAAAAAACACGGTTTTAGCGTTTTTGGTTTAGGAGTTTAGGGTTTAGGGTTTTGGTTTAGGGGATTTGCGTCGAAGGTTTAGGGGTTAAGGTTTAGGGCATCGGGTTTCGGGTGTAGTCTGAGGATGCTGATAGCTTTCATCACTTCATGCGCCGGTCACTATGTGCCCTCATCCCAGACCTCAACATGATCGGTTTAACTCAGGCACCAGGGGTATCATGACTCGCATAGCCTGCGACATCCCGGTCAACATCATGGTGGTCGTCAGCGACATCATCATCTTGGCGACACGGTATCTTTGCGATTTGTGATCATCACCGCCCCGAGCATTCAGGCTGCACCTCTGATTCTCACTCGCTGCATCTTCATCATAGCTGCGGTCGGGACCATCGACATGAGCATCATCAACGAAATCTTCAAAAATCGTGACGATCATACTCATAGCAACCGCGGTCATTAACACCTTAACCATCGACATCAACATCATTGTCTTCATCTTGACTTTCGCGATTAACATCATCGTCGTCACACTCTTCTTTACAATCGTCATGACCAACATCACTATAATCATCGTGGCCATCCCTGGTGCGCCAGGCGGGGCGTCCATCTCGAGCAGCTCCAGAATCGCTTCACGGAAGATGTCCACACGCGGAGCCGTGACTTCCTCGACAATCTACAATCTCCGCAGGCGCCCGGCGATTCCCAGAGCATGACACAGAAACACATATCTAGCAGGTGCAGAGCACTTCTGAAGCCGCCAGCTGAAGGCCCAAGCATTCGGGTAGTTCTCTAAATTAGGGTCCCTTTTTAGGTCCCCAATTTCGTACGGCACCCTTATAACAAGGATCCTAAAAGGGACCCGAATTTATAGAACTACCCATA